ACAGCAGGGCAGGTCCAGCTGAAGAGGAGTTGCTGGGATGGGTTGTTTGTGGCAGGTACCAGGGCTTACAGTGCGGACCAAGAATCAGTGCTGGGCAGGTTCCAGTAGGCTGTGCCTGTGCTGCTTAGGAGTGTGATGTTCAGCACACGGTGAAGGTATACAGGAAGGAGTGGGTAGATTGTAATGTGTGGTGCTAAGTTGGGTATGTGAAAGGTGAGAGACAGGAGAGAGGAACAGGAGCCAAAAACATACACACAAAAAAGAGTGCTAAGCGAACTTGCTATTGGAGTGATGAGACACCGAGAAATGAGGAAAAACAAAAATAAAAATATTAAAAGAAACAAATGAATAAATCGAGAAACTGGAAATGAAGAAAGAGAAAAAGGAAATAGAGAAAAAAAGAAAAGAAACAAACAAAAAAACCCAAAAACAAGAGAAAAGAAATGCCCCTTGGGATATCCCCTGTGCGTCTGCGCAGAGTAAGGGAGTAGCTTCCAAGCTGCGCGGTACTCCCCAGCTAGAAGGGGCTCCCGAGCCGAGAAAAGAAGACAAACAAATCAAAACAGAACAAATCGAGGCAAACAAACAAAAGCTCCAGTGGTCCAGCCATCACGGTAGCACGTTCTGGGAAGCAGTTTCACAGTTAAGCAGTGTTGCACAGCCTTTCAGGAAGAAGCAAAGATGGTGCATGGAGCCAGGTATTTGAGAGAAAGGAGGGGAAGGCGGTGAGAGGTAAGGAAGAAATCCAGAGAAGTGGAAGAAAGCAACACCAGCAGCCAACAAAAGGCACTCGGGAGCCGGTCAGTGCGGGCAGGTGGAATCCAAGGTACACCAGGTGAAGCTGGTGCTTCCCAGCCAGGAGACTGCGGCTGCAGGAAGCAGAGGAGGTTAAGTGGGGGTGAAGAAGGGTGGGGGTGAGAAAGCCTGTATCGCTGGTTACCAGTTGTTCTGTCTTCTGCTGAAAGCTCCGTGAAGCTGCTTTCTCATACCCCCGTTTGCTGATCTCCAATTGAGTCCAAGATGGCAGATCCATGTTTCGGTAGCTAGATAGGTGACCTCTGCATGTATCTCTCCTCCCTCTCTGTTCTCGGTCAGTTTCTTATTCCATTCGGTGGTTGGCTGAGTTTTTTATCTGTTTATTTGATGCTTAGGGTTTGAGGATTGACGTATGACTCTGTTTGACTTAGTTTTTCTGATCTTTGCTGTGGAGGGACAGCATGGTGCTTCTGACTATAGCGCCATGTTGCCTGGAAGTCTCAGTCTTCTGGATTTCTGATTGCTGTCTATGGATTCTTGCAGCCTGTTCAATTTGTCATTATGCTCTTCTCTTTTTAATTTCTTCTATTGCATGTTCTGTGTTTTGCTTAATTTCCTTCCTAATTTCTTGAAGAGTTCTGTATATTAAACTTCTGTATTCTGCCTCTGGTAATTCCAAGGAATCTTCCTCTTCTGGAAAATTTCTAGATTCTTTATTTTGTGAGCTTGCTGAAGCCATCATGGATTGCCTCTTTATGTGATTTGATATTGACTCTTGTCTCCAAGCCATCAATAAGTTATTATGTTCATTTATTTTATGTTTGCGTACTGTGTCCTAGCTTCTGGTTTTGTTTTGATGTGCCCAAATAAGCTGCTCGTATGAGCTAGTGTGATTATTGTCACCGTTGAAGCTCTCATGTCCTGTTACCAGGTGGTTAAATCTTTTACTAGGCCTGTGAGCTCAGGAGTCTGCCCACTCCTCCTGTATGGATTCAGCTCAGGTGCCCAGGTAAATAGCCATCAAGTGTGTGGTGCAGGCTCTCACTTACAGTCCTAGACAGGCATGGGTGATTGGTATAGGCACAGGCATCTGGCTGCAGTAGGGAGACACACTCTGAGCAGGTCAGGGGGCTGACAGCCACCCCCAAGTGTCCAGGAAGAAGGCGTGTCCCTGTTCCCTAGAGTGCATAGGTGGGTGGGTTTTGTAGCTGGACTATGAGCACCCACTGCTGTTGACTGTAAGGACTGGGTGGCACCTGTTATTCTTGGGCCCCTATCGCAGGTGGCTAGGTGACGTGGTTGGAGCCACCAGTCCTCAGGCCCTTGACGTGGGTAGGTGAAGACCCTTCTTAATGGGCAGAGCAGTGTCAAATGTCACAAACTTGCCATTTCACAGCTGAAAAAGTTGAAGTTAAACTTCAGGTATTTACCCTGTTGTACTGTGGTAATGAGGGCCTACGCTGTTGAAATTGGCCCACACAAGTTTATGCAGGGAGAAAGGCACTCAAAATCTGTGGATCCCTTATGCCTATACTTAGGCAAAGGACCTGTGCCCACCCTAGGTTCTTGGCTTAGGGGAGCCGCAGTTTATTTTTGCCCCTATTAATTTGTTCACTCTCCAAGGCTGGGAGAATGGCTCAGGGCATGTGACAGATCCTACTTCCAGCCCAGGGGACTTGGTGATTGCTGAAGCTGGTTTGGGACCCAGTGCTGAGCAGGGAGGTAAATGGGAGACAGGTTTTTCCCTAGGGGGAGTTTTTTTGATCCGCATGGTAGGCCGTACACAAGTACTTATCTTTCGCCGATCTAGGGCTGCTTCTCACTGGTTCTGGGTGGCCCAGTAGTCTCTCTGCAGCTGGGTCTCTCCCAGTGCAGAATACATCTCCCGAGAACCGCTGCTTGCGTGCCTCACCAGTCACTCATGAGCTGATCAGGCCTGAAGGGCTCAGGCTCTCGCCGGGTCAGGTCTGGCAACTCCTCGCTGCTGCCAAACCGTCTCTCCCTCCCCCTGCCGCTCAGTCTGTTTCCTCAACTCTGCTTTAGATGTTCATGGGTCATAGATTGTCATATATAATTGATTCACTTGTTTTTTGGGGTCTTTGTTGTAAGAGGATCCACCGAAAGCATCTGACTGCTCCACCATCTTGGCCCCAACTCCTAGTTCTTTTTTTTTTCTTAATTTACCTATTTTTTAAGTAGGTTTTTAAAAATAACTAAAAGAGAAACCAAAACGTTTTACTGAAATTGACATTGTCTTCAATTTTGTTATTTTCTTGTTACTTAGCTATTGAAATTTAATCTGATGATATATTTCACTAACTGTGAATTAACCTTAAAAATATCTACTACAGTCATTCATCTAGTAGATCTTTAACAGATGATAATCCTCAGGAAGTTTAGTCTGAGATTTTAAACTAGAGACAATGCAGACGTACAGAGATTTCGGTAGACTAGATGTCCAGTATAGCTCCAAGGTAGATCAACATTAAGGCCTCTCTGGTTCAATTTACAATACATTTTGTCAACCTTCTTCTGTGACCAAGGCTTTTAAGAGGTGCCAGAAACAAAGATGGTGTGGTGCCTGCTCTGAAAGAACTTAAATTCTTTTCAGAGAAATGTTGTAAATAAGTAATTGCAATATATATGACCTAAATTTCGCTTCTAGTATTGGCGTAAGAGTTCGCTAAAGTATTAACATTTGAGTCCATCATTGAAGGATGAATTTAATTTGAACAGGCCAAAAATTGGGGAGAAATGGAGATAGAATGTCATTATGGGCCATAGGAGCAGCCTGAGAGTGGGGATATGGAATGTTTTATTCAGAAAAGGGTCAGTAGTCCATTGTGGCTGGAACACAGACTATGCAAATTCTCCTTTTAAGTCTAGGTGGTAGGTAGTTTGTAAAGCATCTTGAATGATTTTAAGGAATTTGATATTTATTCAGTGGTCATTGAAGCCATCAGAAGTTTTTGAGGAAGGGACTAAATTTAGATACGTGTTTCAGAGAGAAAGGTAGTTGGAGAGGATGGAGATAGGAAGCTATTGCAGTGATCTAAAGTTAGAGTTGTTATCTTAAGGCCTAGACTAGAACCTAGTAGTGGAAATATTAAAGGAGAGAATTAAAAATGCTTAGAAGGTAAAATCAATAAAACAACTCATTAAATAGCAGAAGTGTGAGGGTCAGGTGGAAGAGTGCTTATGTATTTTCCAGCTCAGATCACTAGGCTCATGTTGCTGCCCATTGATAGTAATGGAAAACATGGTGAACTCTGGGATTTTAATTAACATAACTGTTCAAAGATGACATGAGGTCATGAGTTTTCTGTCATTGGAGAAATTCAGGCATAAGCCAAAGACAGGGATATCGATGATCTATTCCAAACCTTGAAATGCTATAATTCTGAGGTTAACTTTTATTTGAAGTGATTGAATCCACTTGCTATTTTAATGTTGTATAACCTGATCAAAGAAAGTCACTAGAAGATCAGATATATAAAGAGAGGCACTAGGAGATCAGATATATTCTAGTTAGGTGTATTATACCTCAGAAAAATGAACGTATAAGCTTTCCAGTATTTGCGAGTGTGAACTCCTATCCCACCATGTTATTCTTTATTCTGCCTAACCTTAGCAAATCATCAGTCTTTCTGTATAAAATAGTTATTGTTTCTAAAACCACATGATGCTCATGAATACACTTTTTTGTTTTTACTCATAATCTTTAACATGTGAAGCTTATAACTAAACACTGACTCACTGTCACTTACCTGACAGTTTCCTGGTCTGTAAATTTATCAGATTATATTCATTCAACAGGTGTGCTTGGAGGTTTGGCTAAGCATTAAACACTATGATGTGCTCTATCTGCGGGGGAAGACAAACATCCATACATAGTACCTTTTGTTGACTGCTGTCATAGAGAAGTAAAAGGAAAATAAAATAACAAACGTTGGCTGACCTTTATCAAACTTTTAAATTAGACTTTCGCCAGTGCTTGTAATGAGTATATCATTCTGTTAGGTCACTCCCCTAAATATACATTACCGTCCATGTCTTTGGGTATGGTATAGAATAAGCCTGGTCTGTTAAAGGTAGTCAGATACAACCGTGTTTTTCTTAGTACCTAATCTTAAGGAAAGATCACTGTCCACAATTCCAGGTAAAGTAGAATTCCATAAATATACTAAAACAGTACAATAAATACCACTGTCTCTATTGAATGCCTTTTCTCTTATATAAAATAGGTGGAGGTTTTTGATCTGCTTTTTGTCACTAACGAAAGCAATTCTCGAAAGACTTACATAGTACATTGCCAAGATTGTGCACGAAAAACAAGTGGAAACCTGGAAAATTTTGTGGTGCTAGAACAGTACAAAATGGAGGACCTGATGCAAGTCTATGACCAATTTACATTAGTAAGTAAAATAAACATGTGAGTACATAGTTAGCTGGGTTTGTAAAGCAGCAGTGTTTGCTCTGCCACCTGATAAGTAGGAGGTAATATTTAAATTTTCCTTTGGCTCATTAGATAGCACATGAAAAGATACTCATATCATTCTCCTCCCCCACCCCCCACCTCCCACTTGCAAGGAGTTTATTCATATGTAGTTGGCATTTATCATTTTCATTTTTCTTCCTAGGTGAGACCAGCCTAAATAATATCACAATAATCACATTCAAAAATCTTTATTGTATGCTTTTAGAACACCATCATATCCTTTGTCATTTGATCCCAGTTGATAAAATGTTTGTGTACATAGGTTATTAATGCCCACTATAGGGATGATTAAGGAGCTTTGGTGGCACAGTGGTTAAAGTGCTCAACTGTTAACCAAAAGGTCAGTGGTTCAAACCCACCAGCCACTCTGTGGGAGAAAGATGTGGCAGTCTGCTTCTGTAAAGATTACAGCCTTGGAAACCTTTTGGTCAGTTCTATTCTGTCCTTCTAGAGTCACTATGAGTCAGAATCGACTGGACAGCAATGGGTTTTGGTTTATACGGATAATCAAAAAATAAATCCATAAGCGTGCTTTTAAATATACTACTGCTTTTAGAGCTAATTGCATTTATTTAAAGTTTTGTCCTTGCCAGAAGTATTAATCTCATGGGAATATTTGCTGGAGCTTAACTTCTGGTATGTTATGTAATCTTATGAAATTCAAGTATACTTATAAATTACACATAGCTTTTAATTTCAAACAGCAGATGCTTAGTAGCAAGATTTTTCTCTAGCAGATCAATAGCTTTATTAATAGAAACACATAATTTATGAATTGTTGATTTTCTCCAATACTTTTTTTCGTACATATGTGATCAAAAACTGAATTTTTGAAATTTAGTTCCTTATATTTTCACTTGGATGATCCTCAAGATTGCTTGAAGAAGAAAATTCTGTGAAGTATGTTAAACAAAACATATAATCTAGCTGAGATAGGTTCTGAAACCAGTCACTAAAGAAATTGTAATTTATTTGTTAATCTGCTAGCCTTTTTCTTTAAGTGATCTAAAGAAATGGTCAAGCTAATAATTTTTCAAGAGTTTTTGACTAATTGGTGAAGAAGTACAGAAAAACGGTGGTATACTGAGTAGGGTAATGGTATCAGACTCTTAGGAAACTTGGCCAGGTGGGAGACCATAAGGGAGGTTGTACTTTTACATTGTGTAGCAGGCTGTTGAACTTTCTTGAGAGTAGTTGTTTCCCCTAACTTCATAAGCAGACTCTGTGTTACTTTGTAGCCATGAGCTAAAAAAACAAACGCGTTGCCATTGAGTGATTCTGACTCATAGCAACCCTATAGGACAGAGTAGAACTGCCCCATAGGGTTTCCAAGGAGCACCTGGTGGATTCGAACTACCAACCTTTTGGTTAGCAGCCGAGCTCTTAACCACTGAGCCACCAGGGTTTCCGCCATGAGCTAGGAAACAGTATTAACAATTTGTATACGAAAATAATTAACATACCTTACTTTTATTTTCAGGCTCCTCCGTTACCATCCTCCTCATCTTGATATTGTTCCATGGACATTAAATGAGACCTTTTCTGCTATTCAGGAAATAACCCAGTTCTGCACCACTGGTTTTTGTAGCTATCTCGTAAGGCTGCTGACTGAAAACTGTGTCTATGCAACCTTCCAAGTGCGGAGTGTCAACCAACTGGACAGGGGAGAGCACCGCTCCTACTCCAGGACTCTCACAAAGCTGATCCAGCTGTACTTCAGAAAAAAAATAATTTCCATGTTTTGTATATATCTGACAAAACTGGCAACATCATACAGACTACTGACTTGAAGACAACCTCTTTTATATTTCTCTATTTCTGGCCTGATGAATTGGTTTTCATCTATCTTTTCCTCCTTCAGAATTTTCCTTGGAAAAAAATACTAGCCTAGCTGGTCATTTCTTTGTAAGGTAGTTAGCAATTTTAAGTCTTTCTTTGGTCAACTTTTTTTTTAATGTGAAAAGATAGGTAAGAAACTTTTTTACTGCTTTTATGTTTTTCTGTCTTGTTTTGAAACCATGACGGTTACACTTTGGTTCCTAAATAAAACATTAAAAAAAAAATTAACAGCCAAGTCACAAAGATAATGGATTGCACATAGACTAAGGAATAAACTTCAGATTTGTGATTTTTGTTTCTAATCTTGATGTAAATTTACACTATTTATAAATACATATTTATTGCTTGAAAATATTTGTGAATGGAATGCTGTTATTTTTTCCAGATTTACCTGCCATTGAAATTTTAAGGAGTTCTGTAATTTCAAACACTACTCCTATTACATTTTCTATGTGTAAATAAAACTGCTTAGCATTGTACAGAAACTTTTATTAAAATTGTTTAATGTTTAAAGAGTTTTCTATTGTTTGAGTTTTAAAAGGCTTTATGTACAGTGCCCAGTTTTTGTTCATTTTTCGAATCTGATTAAATAAATATATGAAGACAATAATAGCAATAATATTTTCTTAAACATACATATATGTATGTATATGTGTGTGCGTACTTGTGTGTGTATGTATATATAATATATATAGAAATCTGGATATATATGTATAAAGATTTAGAACTTAAATTTTTCTCGTTTTAAGTTTCACATATGGTAGATATTTGAGGTGTCTACTGTAAAGTATTGCTTACAAAAGTATGATTATTTTTAAAGAAATATATATGGTATGTATCTTCAAGACCTAAAATGTCAGACTGGTTTATTGTTAAGCTGCAATTACTGCAATGACAGACCAATAAACAGTTGCTGCCAAAATGTAGTAAATAATAGAAAACAAATAATGATTGAACTTAAGATCTTAAAGGGAATGTTCTATGGGCTGACAAATCTTGTACATCACTTAGTAGAATTTTATATGGAAAATAATTCAGGACGAAGGGCTCTATTTTAGAATGCAAATAAATTAAGAGACTTATTTTTTTAAGTTAGGCAATTTTGAAATCTCACACTTTCCTGCTTGTATGATAGGATTGGGGGGTAGGGTATGCAAATCCCATATCACTAGTACAATTTAGCAAGCTATATTAGCATTAACAAAGCACTTCTAGTTAACGATATTATTTCATTATATAATACACCTACTCCTCACTTATTGACTATCTCATCTGACATTTCACATTTACAACAACAGTAGAAAATCTACTATTCAGCTATTTTGCTCATTAACAATATATGTCTGGCAGTAACAAATGCCAAGCTGCGAGGCAAGAGTAATGCTGGCTGTGATGGTTAAGGTTATGTGTCAACTTGGCTGGCCATGATTCTCAGTGGTTTGACAGTTATGTAATGATGTAGTCATCCTCCATTTTGTGATCTAATGTCATCCTACATTTTTGCATAATGCTGATTTTCACTTAATGACTTGGTCTTTGGAACCTAACCATGTCAAAAAGTGAGGAGTGGGTGTATATATGACTAAAAAGAATTTATAATCCTATCTGGTGAAATACTGTGCTGATTGCATTAATCCAGCACTCTTTTTCAAATAGTTTTGAAGTATGTTGTCTTCCTAGAAACAGTTTGAAGGCTGAAAGCATGAAGATGTTTATGTTCAATTAGTTAATTTGGTAAATATTGAATACTAGCTGCATTTATCTCTTATAATTTCAAGAGGAAAAAATTATATATCTATTTTAGTTAAGGAGCAAGAGTACTTGTCTAAGTGCTGCCCAGGAAGTTTAACCGCTAATATTTGTAAGTGGTTTTCTGGTAAAATCTCCTCTCCAGAGGTCATTGAGAATAAAAAAACTCAAGACAAACATTTTTGCAAACAAAAACTATAAGCTAACTGTCAAAAAGCAAAGATTATAAGAATGCTAAAGCTATCTGAATGTTTCTTAACCCATTTTAGTTTATATTACTGATATAACATCTTGTCTTCTATGGTTTTCTTAAGATAGTTTATTGTCAAGATTAAGTTACCTGGCATTTAAGTGTACTTTAATGGTGTTTCGCTAATAACGTATTTGGATTGTGTATCAAGAGTAATACTGGTTTAGAAGCTTGCAGTCTTTGAATGGGTAGAGGATAGGAGATAGAAATCAAACACATCAATATTACTCAGAAGTATAATTAGATGAGTGAAAAACCAAACCCATTGCCATCGAATCGATTCTGACTCATAGCGACCCTGTAGGAGAGTAGAACTGTCCCGTAGGGTTTCCAAGGAATGGCTGGTGGATTCAAACTGCCAACCTTTTGGTTAGCAACCGAGCTCTTAACCACTGCGCCGCCAGGGGTCCTAGATGAGTGAAATCCTATGTAAATTTTCTTTTCATTAATTTAACATCCTTAATAATTTGCATTTTTCAGATTTCAGAAGAAATAGAATAATTTTTTTTTCTTTTTACTGCTTGTATAGGTAAGTCATGTTAAGGCACACTCTAAAGTACCTTAATTTAACAAGTTTGCATCATAGCACACACATAAAGAAGCTTATCAACACAGTACATAAAAAGCAGATGTTAATACAAGTGGAAACTAAACCATATTCTTTCCTCATTGTCACCTGTTAAATAGGAACTCTTAACAAGGATACCTGCTACCATCAGTATAGCAACTCAACTTCCTTAACCTAGTATTTAACAACAACAAAAAATTGACTTCTGCATTTTGGAATAAAATCTTAAGTCACTTTTTCAAAGTAGTAAATTGACAGGACTTTTAAAATACTAGTAATGAGTCAAATAAAATTTAAGATTATGTAATATGAATTGAATTCAAGTGAAGTGTCTAGTTCTCAGAGGGAAGTATGTTGAACCTAGTTATTAAATCTTTATCACAATGTGTGTTTTCATTTTGGTCAACATATTTATTTAGCATCTCCTAAAAGACTAGTAAGGATAAGATGTGATCCCTGCCCTCTATCCTCCATACATATCGAATGTGAGAGATTCATGTAAATATACCAGGCAACACCTTCTAAAGGAAGTAACAAGAAGAGTAGTAGTGATGTTTGCATTTCAACAGGGATTATATCATCACACTTTACAGAGCAAGAGTATTTGGTAATTTCAAGTAGTTTGTCATGACTAAAGGGTTGGAGGTCTTTTAAGACTACTGGAGAGGGAGGAAGGACACAATGCTGGTATGCCTTCTCTGCCATGTTAGATGTTTAGACTTGACCCTGTAAATATGGAGCCTTCAACTGGTTTCAAGTAAAAGAACAGCATTAAATTTGCAGTAATCTTCCTCCCTGCTTTAACACACATCATCTATCCACTACGTTGGTGCCAGAGGGATATTTCTACACAGAAATTCAAGGAAGAGATGATTTGGGCTTGAACTTTGGATATTGTGAGAATAGATAAGAGGACAGATCTGGGAGACAAAAAGTAAAGTCCCCAGGACCTAAGAATACCTTCCAGGTGAGTAGGGGTGCTTTTAACCAGAATAGGAAATACAGAAGAGTTCTGGGGGCAGAAGATAATGAAATACCTGTAGAGCATCTAAGTAATTTGTTTAGAGAGTAGCAGTTGAATATGTTGGTCCGGAATTAGGAGTGGCCTGGACTGGAAGTATAAATCTGACTGTCCATTGAGATGGTCCTTAAAGCCGTGGGAGAAAAGATCATACAGGAACTGTCTTAAGTGAAGAGAGGGGTGGACTAAATACCCCCTAAGGAACATCGCATAAAGGGCAGATGGGAGGAGACTGCAAAGGAGAAGATGGCTAAAAGAAACCAGCCAAAGGTGATGTTTGACAAGCTAAAGCTTTGGGAAGAAAGATCACATGCTGCAAAGATAAGGATTAAAAGGAATTGTTTTGGGTGTTTGTGGCATTTGCCAGAGCACCTTCAGTGAAGTGACATCCTGATTGCCATGAATGGGAAAAAATTAAATTTGAGAGAGAAGGGTTGGTTAGGTCTTTCTAGGAGCCCTGGATATGAAATAATCTTGGTTTTTGGTGAATAGCAAACAGATCACCAATTTTAAATATTCTGCAGCATTGTCCTAGATTGTCCTGGAGTGCTTTTACACAGTAATAGTTTTGTATACTTAACCTTGAAGCAACCCAGATGATGTTTTGCTTTTGAAAGACACACTTTTTCAATTGAGCAGGAAAATGGGGATGTTATTTTTTACTGTGGCCTAAAGATAACCTACCATTTATTGAATACAGCCCTGTTGGCTCAGTGGTTAAGAGCTCGGCCACTAACAGAGAGGTCGGCAGTTGAAACCCACCAGCCACTCCGCGGGAGGAAGATGTGGCAGTCTGCTTCCGTAAAGATTACAGCCTAGGAAACCCTATGGGGCAGTTCTGCTCTGTTTTATAGGATTGCTATGGGTCGGAATCAACTAGATAACGGATTTTTTACGGGTGCGAAGCATGCTGAGTATATACATTCTTCTATTTAATCTTCACAGTGATTCTCTGAGTTAGTTATTGCTTTATCCCTGTCTTAACTGATAAGTGAGGCAAAGAGAGATCATGTAACTTGCCCAAGGTTCATGGCTATGAAGTGGTGAAGCCAGTATTCCAACTCTGGCAGTCTGACTCCAGAGCAAGTGCTGTTCTACCTCCCACAGTACGGAGAAATAGGAATTACTAAGTGCTTACTCTGCATCCACATTTGAAAGAAACTCGTTTTGAATGTGTCTTTAACAAGATCAAGATGTCTTTATATTTGATAACCTATAATTTAGGCTGACCCTATTCCAAACCAGGACCCCTCTGAGATTGAAAGACGTCACTCTTAATAATTAGTCTGGGCAACAGCCATAAAATGAGACTCTCCTGGACAAGCCAGGACCTATGGAGAACGTTTAATGTTTGAAAGAAACATTTTGAGAGTAGTATTTAGAATCGACTCAACGGCAGTGGGTTTTGGTTTGGATTTACCTCCTCCCAGCATCATATTTCTGGATTTCTGTACTCTTAAAATGGAAAGAAAGTGTGGGTTTGGGTTCAATTGTTGAAAAATGAAGATAGTGAATTATCAGGGTGAAAATGCAATGATTAAGAAAGAGAATATGATAGAGGAAAGGGGGATTTCTGTTTTTAAGTTTTAGTGATGTCTACTAAGTTACTCCCATCCTAAAACCAAATAATGGCACCTCAAGAAATGGTGTGAGAAAATGAGTGGCTAGAATATTCTCAATGTAAAGATTATTAATATCCATTTTTCTAAACTCTAGGTCCACCTACCACTCAGCCGGTCTAGTTTAAGGTGGGAATCTGATTTAACATACTTGAAGTACAATTTTTTAAGTGTGCCAATCAGAAAAAAATGTAGAGCCACAGATTTCTCATGGTTTTGAAACCATTCAGTGTCATGGAGTTTACTTCCAAGTGATTGATTAAACATGTTTTAATATGAACCAACAAGAAGATACCTAATAGACAT